CTGACTTGTGGGAACTTTTTATATTTTAACAAAGTTAGTTCTTAATCTGTGACATGTGTTACAAATAGTTCCCCGTTTTCTCTTTGACTTTGTTTATGATGTATTTGCCAAGCAGATTTTTTTTAAAAAAAAGACATATTAATACTTGAATTTATTAAAAAAATTAATCGGTTTTGTGACTTCTTTAAAAATACCTTTCCAGTTCTAGAAGCAAATTCTACTGATAGTTTTATCTTGACAGGGGTCTTGAATGCACATGTGGGATATTTTTGTGAATTCTGTGTGTATATTGCAGGGTTTCTATCTCACTGCCCCCAGTATTTCCAAAACATTACAGAAAAATAAGCATGATTTTCAACAAAAGTAATAGTGTATTTCTTTTCTTTTCTTTTTTCGAGATGGAGTTTTGCTCTTGTGGCCCAGGTTGGAGTGCAATGGCAAGATCTCCACTCCTCTCAGACTCTTGCTCCCAGGTTCAAGCCATTCTCCTGCCTCAGCCTCCCAAGTAGCTGGGATTACAGGCATGCCATGCGCCACCATGGCCAGCTACTTTTGTATTTTTAGTAGAGACAAGGTTTCTCTATGTTGGTCAGGCTGGTCTCGAACTCCCAACCTCAGGTGATACGCCCACCTTGGCCTCCCAAACTGCTGGGATTACAGGCATGAGCCACCGCACCCGGCATAATAATGTATTTCTAGGTTAACCCCAAGGAAATATAGATCATCCTCTAGGACAGTGGTCCCCAACCTTTTTGGCACCAGGGACCGGTTTCATGGAAGACAATTTTTTCACAAACTGGGTGGTGGGGGTGGGGATGGTTTGGGGCTGAAACTGTTCCAACTTCGATCATCAGGCATTAGTTAGAATCTCATAAGGAGAAGGCAACCTAGATCCCTCTATCGGCGGTTCACAATATGGTTTGCGCTCCTGTGAGAATCTAATGCTGCTGACCTGACAGGAGGCGGAGCTCAGGCAGTATTGCTCACCTGTTGTCCCGCCCGGTTCCTGACTTGCTACCACTAGTACTGGCCTGAGATCTGGGGCTTGGGGACCCCTGCTCTAAGAAACTAAAGACGTATTCCTTGTGACCAGTCAAGTGACTTGAGTGAGATACAGATGTTCTCTCTGGACAGGTTTTGATTCCTTCTGGGTTCTTTGGGCATTTCTCAGATTGCTTTCATTATCTGTGCAGTTCAAATGTGTATCTCCATGTTGAAGTGGAGTTAGGTGAGTAGTTTGGGAGCAAGGACTGGCTGACAAGTGGCACCACTGTTGGCCTGGCATTGAGTGCAGCCCAGCATTCCTTCTAACCAACTTAAGTGTGGGCCAGACAATCCTGCTTATGGCTATTTCCTCAGGGCCAACCGTATTTTTCCTACTGAATGGCTACAACTTTTCTTATGTTGAAGAGTGACTAAGGCAGTCCTAGAATCTTTTCACTGTAATTTTTTCACAGTTGAGACATAAATCTTGCCACCAACTACTTTTTTTTTTTTTTTTTGAGACAGGGTCTTGTTCTGTCACCCAGCCTGGAGTGCAGTGGCGTGATCATGACTCACTATAGCCTCTTAACTCAAGGGATCCTCCCTCCTCCTCCTCTTGAGTAGCTGGAACTTTCTATAAAATATAATGAGGATTAGTGAAATATGCATCTTTCTAAAAAGCTTTGATCTCCCGCTCAGAGATACCCTGTAATGCAAATTGTCACTTGGAACATCACATAATTAATCCTACTATTTTTAATGAGAAATTAGAAGCAAATATAGTTTAAAATGACACGTCTTTGGGAATTGTGTTGATGACCTCTCTGATGGATTTGTTGATAAGAGCCATCAATGTCTATCAATTGCTGCCATATTGGCAGTTTTCCTTTGGGCCATATAGACTGGAATAAAAAGCAAATCTTATTACTAGTAATACGGTGATTGCCTTTGTCAAGACTTTGAGGAAATAACCGAGATGACTCATTCCAGCTTTATTTTATTAATAGAGAAGAAAGAAAAATTTGTCTTGTCCTCATCCCAAATATAGCTTGAATTTCAGGTGAATCAGTAGTATTAGCAAGAAATTATGTAGTGTTAACTCAGTGGTTTGGCAAGCATTTGATCCTTACAGGGTTTGGGTTGCTTTCTAGTGTTTATTTAGATTACTCTTCCACAATATGTTCATTATATTTCCACCTGTATCTTCACTATTATTCTACATTAGGTGAAAAGCTTCATAGCTTAGTAATTTATTTTTTCTCATGGAACTCAACTGAATAGGAAGAAAAGAAATTGGATCATTTATACTTGTCAGTGGTTGCATAATAGCCGATATCTAGGGGCTATATATTCAGATTCCTGATTGTTTTAGGCTCTCTGCAGTATGTGCTTTGTCTATTTTAATGTTTTTAAACTTATTTTTTAACGTTTAAGTTCAGGGGTACATGTGCAGGTTTGTTATATAGGTAAACTTGTGTCAAGGGAGTTTGTTATACAGATTATTTCGTCATCCAATTATTAAGCCTAGTACCCATTAGTTATTCTTCCTGATCCTCTTCCTCCTCTCACCCTCCACCCTCCAATAGGCCCCAGTGTCTGTTGCTCCCCTCTGTGCGTCCATGAGTTCTCATCATTTAGCTCCGACTTATAAGTGCGAACATGCAGTATTTGGTTTTCTGTTACTGTATTAGTTTGCTAAGGATGGTGACCTCCAGCTCCATCCATGTTCCTGCAAAGGACATGATATCATTCTTTTTTTCTGGCTGCATAGTGTTCCATGGTGTACATGTACCACATTTTCTTTATTCAGTCTATCATTGATGGATATTTAGGTTGATTCCATGTCTTCACTATTGTGAGTAGTGTTGCAATGAACATATACATGCATGTGTCTTTATGATAGAATGATTTATATTCCTTTGGGTTGGGTGATAGTTCTGTTTTCAGCTCTTTGAGGAATCACCACACTGTTTTCCACATGGTTGAACTAACTTACACTCCCATCAACCGTGTATAGCATTTCTTTTTCTCCGCAACCTCTGTTTTCTCTGCCATCATCTGTTATTTTTTGACTTTTTAATGATAGCCATTCTCACTAGCGTGAGATGGTATCTCATTGTGTTTTTTTTTAACCACAACGAGAATTTTTTTTTAATGCTCTTTTGCCATCTTCTGTTTAATAATTTTCCAAACAGTTTGTTTTGTTAAAGGGCTAGAGCTCATAAAAACTTAATTTTTATTTAAAATTATTTGAAGTTCCAGACTTGCACATTTTAACTCTAGTAGAGCAAATAATTCCTATGGATATCAAAGGAAATTCCGTATGTGTATGCCTAGAAATGTCTCCGTTTGCAAAAGGAAAAATTCTTCAGTAAATCAGAAAACCTGTAGGACATTTTTGTCAAATATTTGAAGGTGGGGAAAAGGCATAAACATAGTAGAATCAAACAAGTTAAAGTGATTCTGTTAATATTTATGACAATATTAAAGTATTTCAATACACGTTTTGTCCCTTTGTCTTGCACATCTGCTCTTCCAAATGACAACTAATTAAAACACAGAATGTTTGTATTGTATGCTTTATTTTTCTTTGTCTGAAAATGTCTTACAATAGGGTCTAATGAGCATCATGTAAACTTTGATTAGCTAATACCCATCCTCACAGTTTCTTCTTATTCTGACTGTTGGATGAAATACTCTGCACACAGGTAGCCTTTTAAATCTCAGCACCAATGACATAGCTTGATCAGGGGTAGAAAACCAGTGATAAAACCAAATGGCCCATTATTACTCTTACAAATCCCTAGTCTAACAATTGAGTTTCGCCAAGATGAGTTAAGCCTTCATGTGGGGATGGGATGGCCAAGTATGGCCCACCTAGGTCAGAGATGGCCAAGTTTGTTGCCTTTAGCAGCTGTCATTTATCTTCCATGTCGAATCAATCTTACATTAAGACTGATTCCACCTTGCGCTTTACAGCCATTATTTCTGCTATAATACAGAAATGCCATGGCTAGAAATGAAGCATATTTCTGAGATGGGCACACGCAATAAAAAAGCATGAGTGTGTTGGATATGCATTAGTTATACCCATGTAGGGCTTTAAAGTGCGTGTTTTCTATATTGCTCTGGTACCTTTTTTTTCTTTTGCTTTATTTCTCAGGGGTTAGTTAATGAGTTGTTTTGGTAGCCCATGAAAACATCACATGGTTATTGTAGGCATGACCTAGATAATGGTGGTAATGTCGTTGAAGAGTCTGCATCTCTTGCATGTAAATTATTATTATTATTATTATTAGATGGAGTTTCGCTCTTGTTGCCCAGGCTGGAGTGCAGTGGCGCGATCTCGGCTCACCGCAACATCCACCTCCTGGGTTCAAGCAATTCTTCTGCCTCAGCCTCCCAAGTAGCTGGGATTACAGGCATGCACCACCATGCCCAGCTAATTTTGTGTTTTAGTAGAGACGGGGTTTCTCCATGTTGGTCAGGCTGGTCTTGAACTCCCAACCTCAAGTGATCCACCCACCTTGGCCTCCCAAAGTGCTGGGATTACAGGCGTGAGCAGGTGGGCAGATCACAAGGTTAGAAGTTCGAGATCAGCCTGACCAACATGGTGAAACCCTGTCTCTACTGAAAACACAAAAATTAGCCCCACATGGTAGTGCTTACCTGTAATCCCAGCTACTCCAGAGGCTGAGGCAGGAGAATTGCTTGAACCCGGGAGGTGCAGGTTACAGCGAGCTGAGACCACGCTATTGCACTCCAGCCTGGGTGACAGAGCGAGACTCCGTCTCAAAATACTACTACTAAAAATTGCACGTTATTTTATGTAAATCCTATTTAGAAATTGGGAACCAGAACTAGAAACCATTTTCTCAAGCCCTAAAGGAAATTATGTAGGAATCTGGTGGCTATTTTGTACTGTTTTCCACTTGTACCTTTATTTCTGTGGTGCGTGTAGTCTGGCTAGAGAAATCCGTTTCATTGGTTATCTCCATGTTTCTTTCTCTCCTCAGATGCAGACAGACATGCTGAACTATCCGGAAGTCCACTGAAAAGCAAAAGCACTAGGAAACCTTTGGCATGTATCATTGGGTATTTAGGTGGGTATTTTCTAATAGAGGAAAAACTCAAAGAGCAATTTCTGAATATTATAGGTGTTTGGCCATTCTAAATGGACATACCTAAACTAATTCAGGCCCTTCAAATAGCTGAAATTGGATACCTTTATCTATATAGTCAGTTTATTTTGTTTCAGAAACTTTTATTACCAACACACACAACACACACACACACACACACAGAGTTATGGTATATGTTTACTTTTTCCAAAAAGCCATCAAATAAAAATGTAATGTATATTCATTCATAATTACAGATTAAGTGAAAAAGAAAATAAAAAGCATTCAATTAGTACTTATGATGAATAGTTTTAATATTCTTCTTCAGATCCTTCCCCTGTTTCTAACTCACCTCACCTCTTTCTAGATAATTTATTTACTTATTAAAATGAGATCAAACTGGTTTATAACTTAACTTAAAATAATTATAGGTTTTAATTTTTTATTTTATTTGTTTTTTTGTAGAGACAGGGTCTCACTATGTTGCCCAAGCTAGTCTCAAACTCCTGGCCTCAAGCGATCTTCCTGCCTTGACTGCCCAAAGTGCTGGGATTACAGATGTGAGCCACTGTGCCAAGCCTAAAATATTTATAGTTTGGTGTGCTTAAGGCGACTTTGAAGGGGAGGCATTTGTATTGCTTTCTGGTTTTTATCATGCTGTCTGACTTGGCAATCTCCAAAGATGATGGCTCCATTTTTATGTTGAAATATCACAATTAAGAATAGTATAAAAAATTACTATGCAATAATCTCTTTGTTTAAACAAAGTTTTAAGAGGAATAACTTACAAAATAATGGTTTTCCACATACCTAGAAGCAGGAATGGCATGTTTTTGTGCTTCTCATAGTTCTTTTTCAGTAAAATGAAATATGTACTCAGAGTTGCTTTGACAGAAAGATTTGTAATTATGAAATGTTCAGACTGCAGACATCAACTCTTTTAAAAATCAATTGAATTTGGTATATTATCTAGTCCTTACCCGAATGTTCCAGGAGTCAGAGGCTCAAAGCTTCTTCTTTGATATTACTCTACTATCTTATTTCTTGCTTTCTTTCTTTCCTTCTTTCTTTCTTTCTTTCTTTTTTTTTTTTTTTGAGACGAAATCTCACTCTGTTGCCCAGGCTGGAGTGCAGTGGTGCAATCTCGGTCACTGCAAGCTCCACCTCCCGGGTTCACGCCATTCTGCTGCCTCAGCCTCCTGAATAGCTGGGACTACAGGCACCCACCACCACACCCAGCTAATTTTTGTATTTTTGGTAGAGACGAGGTTTCACCTTGTTAGGATGGTCTTGATCTCCTGACCTAATGATCCACCCGCCTCAGCCTCCCAATGTGCTGGGATTACAGGCATGAGCCACCGCGCCCAGCCATTTCTTGCTTTATTTTTCAGGGCTTAAAGAGTTGTTTTGATATCCCCTGAAAACGTCACATGGTTATTGTAGGCATGACCTAGGTAATGGTGGTAATGTCCTTGAAGAGTGCTATCTGTATTCCCTGGCAGAACTGACTCCTAGATGCCCCTTCTCACTTTGCATGGGAAAGTTTCTGATCACAAAAAAATAGAATTGGCCAGGCGTGGTGGCTCATGCCTGTAATTCCAGCACTTTGAGAGGCAGGCAGATTGCTTGATTCCAAGAGTTTGAGCCTGGGCAACATAGCAAAACCCTGTCTCTACCAAAAATACAAATATTAGGTGGTGCATGCCTGTGGTCCCAACTACTCAGGAGGCTGAGGTGGGAGGATCAATCGCTTGAGCCCAGGAGGCAGAGGTTACAGTGAGTTGAGATTGTGCCACCACACTCCAGCCCAAGCGACCAGTTGAGACCCTGTCTCAAAAAAAAAAAAAAGAAAACAAAAGAAAAAAGAATATAACATTATTAGCCTTTCCATGAATAATTGCGTGCTCCTACTGTGGGTAAATTGGTCTCTCTATCTGCCAGATAGGCCCACACTGTGCTGTTCTTACTAGCTGAACCACATCCCTACACAATATATTTATGAGTATTTATATGTTGAAAACACTGTACTAAGTGATTTGGGGAACACCAAGATGGGTAAGACCTTGCCCTCAAAATTCTTAGTGTAGTGGGGAAAGCAAGCAGGTAAGAACAATAAAACAAAGGATTAGATCCTATAAAAGAATTACAAGTAATATGTGTTGGGCACTTGGAGGAAGGACTGTTTTTTTCTTTTTTTCTTTTTTCTTTTTTTTTTTTTTATTTGAGATAGAGTCTCACTCTGTCACCCAGGCTGGAGTACAATGTCTCCATCTCGGCTCACTGCAAGGTCCACCTCTCAGGCTCAGGTGATCCTCCCACTTCAGCCTCCTGAATGACTGGGACTATAGGTGTGCACCACCACACTTGGCTAATTTTTAAAAATTTTTGTAGAGACAGGGTTTCACCATGTTGCTCAGGCTGGTCTCGAACCTCTGGACTCATGCAGTCTGCCTACCTTGGCCTCCCAAAGTACTGGGATTACCAGTGTGAGCCACTGCACCTGGCCAACCAGGGAATTTTTTCTAATGAGCATTAGGGCAGCCTACCTGAAGAAAGTAATAGTTAATTTCAGACTTAAAAGATACTTAGAATTCAAATAGTTAGAAAAATAGGAAAAGGCCGGGCGCAGTGGCTCAAGCCTGTAATCCCAGCACTTTGGGAGGCCGAGATGGGCAGATCACGAGGTCAGGAGATCAACACCATCTATCTCGATGGTCTCGAGATGAGAAGAGACGGAAACCCCGTCTCTACTAAAAAATACAAAAAAACTAGCCGGGTGAGGTGGCGGGCGCCTGTAGTCCCAGCTACTCGGGAGGCTGAGGCAGGAGAATGGCGTGAACCCAGGAGGCGGAGCTTGCAGTGAGCTGAGATTGCGCCACTGCACTCCAGCCTGGGCGACAGAGTGAGACTCCGTCTCAAAAAAAAAAAAAAGAAAAATAGGAAAAGCATATTCTCTTCCCTCATAAGGCCAAGAGAACCAGATGAACAAAGGCTTCACTGAGTCCAAGGACTTGAAAGCAGCTTGTCTGGTGTGGATGGAGCATAGGCTGTGGAGGTTAAATAAAACGCAAGGCCGGCAAACTTGTCATGTCATGTTGGAGGAAAAAAAAAATCACTTTTTTGGGTGGCAGTATTTAAGCCATTTCTAAATTTTGGCAAATGTGGGGACTTTGACCAGAGATGTAGTAATTCTAACAATTCCAACGGCTTTTCCTAAATTCCAGTCAATAAGGGCGATATCTCAGCCCTTACCTTCAGTGAAAGGGTGAGAAGACAGGATGGCTTGTGTGTAGTTGGCCAGCTGCATGATGACTCTGAGAATTGGTGAGCTGGTTAAGCTTTAGAAAAAGGCTGCCCAGCTTTAGTAGTAAACTGAGTTTCTTAAATCCAGTTCCTACAGTGTTACAGTTTCTGTCCATCCACAATAAGAGCAAGTAGTTCTGGGCTGTATGGCTAACAACAATATACTTTTGTTAAATGTGCATATGCCAGTTTTGTGATATATCCTTAGATAAAGTATTTCATCTACCTCTTGACTATTGGACTTTGGTTCCAAGTTTCATCTATATCAAAATGTTCTAGGCTGTGAGTAATTGATCCTGGTCCCATACTCTGTCTGGTTACAGAGCCAGAGGAGGAATCCTGTTTTTCAGAAAGCTCACATACCTGACATGGTGCCTGGTTTGACAGAGCACAGAGGTGTTTTACCCTCTTCGCCCCAAGGCTACCTCTCCAGATAGCCTTTTGATGTCTAATATCTTGAGGAGTCAGATGCCTTATTCCCTTAGTAAATCACATGTTGTATGTGACCTTCTGAAGTGGCTTTTTGTTTTGTTTTTGCTTGTATTCACAACCCGAGGCTCAGAGCTCCAGCCAGCAGGGGAAAACCCAGCTTACTTGATAAGCAGAGCCATGGCAACACCACTTGAAGCTGACTCATTATGCAAGTCCTTGGCTGGCTCAGGAGGAACTGACTCTCAGCTCATTAAGTAATAAGATGTGTGCCTATTAGCCAATGTAAGTGCACATAGATTTTTAATATCATGTTCTGAATTGAAAAACCTTTTTCCCCCCATCAGAGATCCATCCTGCAAAGAAACCTAATGTAATTCGATCTACACCAAGCCTGCAAACCCCAACTACCAAGCGGATGCTAACAACTCCAAATCACACATCTCTGAGCATTCTGGGGAAAAGAAACTATAGTCATCACAATGGTCTGGATGGTATGTAAGCCCAGGAATTCTGGAGGCTGTTCTGACAGAATGCCTCCACACTCAGGCATGTGTCTGCCACATCCAAGAATATATTATAAACATGTTCTTGTGCTCCATGATTGAAGTATGTGGTTGAGGAATAAAGGGGAATATGGCCATATGCCACATTTTGCCAAGGGATAGTTCTCCATCCCATCAGGAGGTACCTATTTGCTCCCATCTCCTGTTAGGAGGCGTTTTTGGAGATGAAATCTGCATTTAGCAGATTGCTTCTGCTGGGTAATAATGTTCTTGTTGTGATGCGTACTCACTGCTCATTTAAGTTTTGTTGAGCAGAAGGGATTATTTTGCCTTATGTCTGAGACATCAGTGTTCTCTGGGGGTTCTTCAGTGTTCCATGGGTCATTCTGAATTTGGCATTTGTCCCTTCTTTTACCTTATAAATGTTTTTAATTGCTCAAGAGTGCTACATGTCATGAAAGGAATTGCCTGGGTGATGTCCTAAATACAGAAATAATAATTTGCTTGAAATGGAAAAATAGAAATATCACCTCTTATCCAAAGTACTTCTCTTGGGCTTGGCCATATAATGACTCTCCAAGTGGAATTGAATTATCTTCCCATTTGGACTATAAACACAACCATAATAAATCATCCAGGCAGTATATATTGTTCATTTCAGTAGTTCTGGACTTTGAAACTGTCTTTATTGTTTAAATGTTGGCATTTATTTATGAATAAAACTGTCTCCAGGCTTTTCATGCCTCTGGAACTCTAAATTCCTTACGTGACAGTAAATTATTTATAATGAGGCCCCAGAGCAAGGATGTGGAATAAACCTTCTAATAATAATTTCCTATGGTTGTTTTTCTCCGTTATGAATTTTGATGTTCACAATAATGTCAAAAATGTGTAAAACAGTGAGGGCGAGGAATTGAGTTTGCATTTATAGGTTATCAATGTGTTAAGATATGGTTTTCAATAATTTAACTACCCAGAAGTCTTACAGAAACACTTCCTTGCTAATGAGAACATTGGCCATCCTTGACACAATATGCCTGATGTCTAGACAGCGGAAAGAGTGTGTCAAAATGTGAAGATTGGATGTACTTCTCTTCAGCCTTTTCTTGCCCACAACCTTTAGATTCAAGCTTGAATGTAATCTAGAATCTCTCTTTTCCATTATACCACCTCCCTGGCCTTTCTAGGCATATAATCTTGCTGTAGAAAGTATAAAGTAAGTCCTGAAACACACACACACACACACATACACACACACGTATATATTCTTTTCAGTAAAAAGACTATCATTGTGGGCCAGCTCCGGTGGCTTATGTCTGTAATCCCAACACATTGGGAGGCTGAGGCAGGAGGATCGTTTTTGTAGAGACAGGGTCTCTCTATGTTGCCCAGGCTGGTCTCTACAAAAAGTTTTAAAATTATCTAGTGGCGCATGTCTGTAGTCCCAGCTACTAGGAGGATCGCTTGAGCCCAGGAGGTCGAGGCTACAGTGAGCTCTGATCATGCCACTTCACTCTAGTCAGGATGACAGAGACCCCAACACACACACACACACACACACACACACACACACACACACAACTGTCACTGTGACCGACGTTAGCATAGCAGCTTTCTGGTATCTTCTTTCACTCACACTCTGTGGTCATTCTGGATCCCAGTCCTGGCCTGCAATACCTCTTCTGTTGCCCTTTCCTCAGTATCACAGGTACCTGTTTTTCCGGAATTTATTTAAAATGTCACGTTGTAGTGTTCCCTCTCTAGGGCTGCTTTGTTTCATTTCCCTCTGAATGAATGCTGCCACAGAGTCATTACTTCTCTGCTCTGAACAGAAGGAATAGCAGGGCACACAATGAATCCTTGGTTTTTTGTAGACAGAGACCTTCAGCCTTTTTGGGGGAAAGACCCATCTTATCTTCTGAAGAGACTTAGCTGCTGAAACACTTCCTTTTGTAAGACCCATTTGTATTTGCTCTCCTGTCATGGGATGGAGAGGAAGGCTGATGACATGTGCCTGGCACTGTGTGAACTCCCTTACTGAGTTCTCTCACTTAATTCACATGACAGGAAGTTCTGGGAGGTTGGGGAATTTGTTTTGTATATCATTGTATCTCTGTGCTTAGCATAGTACCTGGTACTTAGTAGGTGCTCAATATTTATTAATTGTATAAATGGAAGTGATTGAGAAAAATGAGACCTAGAGAAGTGAATTAAATTTTCCAAAGTTACCAGGCACTACAGAGATGAATTGAGATTCCCACTCAGATGTGACTGATTTCAGAATCTTCCCATTTAACCACTGTTACGAATGAAATTGTGACTCTCAAATGTGCTGTATTAGGTTCTATCAGCAAAGTAGAAACTACATAAGTTATTTCAACAGCTAATTTCGTAAAAGAAATCAATATGATGGATATTGGACGGCAGAATAAATCAACAGAGAACATGGGGCGGGGGCACAGGAAACAACCACCGTTCTCAGGGTTGGGAGAGCACAAGGAAGAAGCTGGGCTTATCACAACCCAGAAGCACAAGGAGGGCCTCAGAGCCAGAACCCAACCTGGAGGAGAGGGCACTGCCCTGCCAGTGCAGGTACCTCTCAGGAGGTGGGATGAGGTGGTTCTGGGACAAGCTGCTGCACCTACCTGGAGGGACACTGACAGGAACAGGACGGAGCAGGTCCTACCTCCCTGCTCCAGCATTGCAGGATCCCTCTAACGCCCTGCTGGTGTGACACAGAGCCAGACAGCAAAGGAGAGGTGTGATTGTAGATTCCCCCCCAGCCCCAGCATCATGGAATTGAGAAACAAGAGTGTAACAGAGGCACACGTGTTAGAAAGTGCCCACGTTCTTGCTTACAAATGGACTTTTTCATTGGGATAATGGGCCTGTTTCTTATTTCCACAGGGTATAGGATCCTGATTAATCAGAGTTTCCATGATGACTCAAAGTACTGGAAATAATGTTCTACTGATAGTTTTCATGAGATAGTTATTACCATCATATACTGAAATAGATAGATACAAACTCATGGGAAAGCCTTGTTCTGTGTGATCCAATAATAAAATCAATTAGCATTGCTACTTAATTATCAGCGTATCAGACAGATGAGCATACCAAACAGAATGTTATGGGCAGAAGAAATTGAATTGGAAACAAAACCTGGGGCTGCTGAGATGTTTAGGCCTCTTAGTTTTCGGGCTGCCTGCCCACTTCAGTGGCTTGCCTCCTCCACTCACCCTCTACCTTTGTATTGCAGGTTCTTGATGATGGGAAAGGAGTCTGTGAATTTGGGCTAGCAGAAAGGATTTTGCTTGGCATTAGAAAAAAAAGATGGACAGCTTCTTATTTCCTCTCTGAAAATCACTGTCTTTCCTGGCCCTGATAGAGACCTTTTAAAGAAAGGCCTTGGTATGGACTGGGTGCAGATAGTCAGAACTCTGTATGCTCTATTAAGGAAACTCCAGGGCCACACACAGGCCCTGTGACCAATCTAATAGAACCTAAACTCCAAAGGTGAAGATGAAATATGTATACATAGGGGGAGTGGTGGCTTGCACTGGTAATCCCAGCTACTCTGGAGGCCGAAGCGGGAGGCTCACTTGAGCCCAGAATTTGAGACCAGCCTAGGCAACATAGTGAGACCCCAAATCTAAAAAAATTTTGGTTTTAAATTAGCTGGGTGTAGTGGCATGCATCTATAGTTCTAGCTACTTGCGGGCAGGGCTAAGGCAGAAGGATTGCTTGAGCCCAGGAGGTTGAGACTGCAGTGAGCTATGATTGTATCACTGCACTCTAGCCTGGGTTACAGAGTGAGATCCTGTCTCTTAAAAAAAAAAAAAAAAAAACGGAAAGAAAGAAAGAAATCTGCCTACACAAGAAGCCTCAGTGCTCAGTGCAGGGAGTCAGTAATGATAGAAAGAATAAAGGTTCAAAAGTAGAGATCTGCACAGTGCCTTGCCAGTCTCTCTATACTTCAACCTTTCTCCGTAGGATGTTGGTCCAGCAGTGTGCCATATGCTGTCATTGTGGTTTCCAGTCCCATCTCCTCCATTTCCTCCACTGGACATTTTTACTGCTAGCAAACCAGGTATCACCTACTATGTTTGCCCTACTTGGTTAACTCCAAGTGGCTGTGAGTAGGTGAGGGCCTAGGCCAGCAGGGATAGAAGAGCCATTACTGGAAAACCTTTCCATGTCAGAAAACCCCGAAGAGAGGGCAGCAGGGGAGACAGAACTTGTCTGTGCCATGGGGGGAAAAAGGGGAATCTGAGTGTTTGGAATCAGATAGGATTAATTCCTTACTCCTCTGATTGCTTCTTGTGTGACCTTGGGTGAATCACATGTTTTTTTTTTGTATGAGTTTTCTCCTCTATAGATCTGTAGAATATAGATGACATTTGCCTTACAGAATTGATCTTATGATTGAAAATTTTCATGTACTTTATTTTTTTATTTTTAATTTTTTGTGGATACATAGTAGATGTGTGTATTTATGGGATACATGAAATATTTTGATACAGGCATGTAATGCTTAATAATCACATGAGGGTAAATGGGTTATCCATCACCTAAAGCATTTATTCTTTCTTTGTGTCTCAGACAGTGCAATTTTACTCTTTTAGTTATTTTTAAATGTACAATAAATTATTATTGCTGTAGTCACCCTGTTAGCTATCAAATACATCTTATTCATTCTAACTATATTTTCGTACCCATTATCATACCCCCCACCACTATCCTTCCTAGCTTCTGATAACCACCATTCTACTGTCTATCTCCATGAGTTCAATTATTTTAATTTTTAGTACAAGTAAGTGAGAATGCACAGTTTGTCTTTCTGTGCATGTCTTATTTCACTTAACGTAATGTCCTCCAGCTTCATCCATGTTATTGCAAATGACAGGATTTCATTCTTTTTTGTCTGAATAGTACTCCATTGTGTATATGTACCACAGTTTCTTTATCAATTTGTCTGTTGATGGACA